CATCAGAGACTAACAGCTGCACAGGTGTTGAAACATCCCTGGATCGTTCACAAAGACCAGCTCCCCAAATACCAGCTGAACAGACATGACGCCCCCCATCTGGTTAAGGTTTGGTCCTGTCCACACACTATGCTTTAGAATAAGGCCTAAATATCTAAAAAATATTCCCATAAATCTTTTATTAATGTGTATGGACCTTATTTGCAACCTGAAACCTCTACATTTCACAGGACAGTTCAATTCAGCAAGGTTTGTGTTAAATCTTTCTTCCTGTAGGGGGCCATGGCTGCTACATACTCTGCCTTGAATAGGAACGTTCCTCCCATGCTGGAGCCCGTGGGCTGTTCTATTCTTGCTCAGCGCAGAGGAGTGAAAAAACTGACTTCTACTGCTTTATGAGCAAACACCTTCCACTTCCAACCCCGTGACCTCTAGCCTGGTTTGAGCACAGCCTGAACTCGGCCTCATCAAGGCCTTAGAGCCAAGTGTAGATTCTGAGGACCCCTGGTGGACAATCAAAATCTTCCTTCACTGGTTACCACGAGGGCCAATAAAAACAGTTCGACCTGTACAATCACGCAAACCAATGAAGAATCTGTGGACTGTTTCTGAGGAGCAAATTATCTGAGCGTATGAATATAAACATACTGTATCTCAGTCATTATAAAAAGCTAAGATGTTAGTGTATTCAGGGAGGATGTGGATTTTAGAGGATGACAACAAATTCCTGCACCAAAGTGTGCGCACAGTTGCGAAAAGCTCCAGTTGTATGGGGATGTTATATATGGGATACTTCCCTGTCAGGTAGACACTTAATATTCAAATTGTATCCTGTTCTGGCCTATTATTTTGCATCATTAACGCCACATAGCATACTGAAGTCCCACCAAACCATAACTATGGTGTATCCCAACATACCTTGTTCTCCAGTCATCTTTGAACAGCGAACTAGGAGAAACGCCCTCAGCAGATTACAAGACGAGTCCAAAAGTTTATATGACAGCTGCTGGCGTTTTTACAAAACAACAGTGTGAACGAGGTCCAAAGCACAAAAATGCAGTGGAGGCCTACATGTAAACGGCAGAGAATGTCAAATAGAGAACTCAGGTGAAACGCAATACATTATACAAAAAAAAATAAGCTGGGATGGAAATGTATACGGCTGCATCGCCTCACCTAAAACCTGCTGACCTGTTTATTTGTTTGTATGTAGGAAAGTACAGAATTGCTCAGAGATATATGTAGTGACTTTTTAAGTGACTACATACAGCCTTGACATATTTTTATAAATGTGCATGGGCAAGATGCTATATTAGCTAATAGCTCTGTGGAAGTTAGCATGACTGAGGATGTTTTCCCCCTTTCATTTTTTTTTT